ATTTTTTGAATAATAAATTTTTTGAATAATAATATTTTAATGGTCACACTCCACCTGCAACTCTACAAAGTGTTTCAAATCAGCATAAAACATTTAGTGAGCTTTGAGGAAGTAGATTTAAAAATGTTTTACGACATTTTATATAACCGAGAAGGAGCCGCACCTTTAACTGAAATTCATTTTATCTTTGAACTTTGACCCTGAGCAGACATGCATCTGAGAGGAAATGAGACATCGAGCAGCACATAAGGTATTTATTCATCTAAAATATCTTTTTCTCAAATGTTAGATTGATTTATTGTATTTCAGTAACATTAATATTTTTGTCAGTACTATTGAAAGAGCTGGAAAAAAACACATAAAAGTACTTTGTAATTTAAAATGAAGCTTGTCCGACCCTCTATCTACAACTGCAACTCCAAACATGTTGGGACGTCGTGTAAAATGCTAATAAAATGATCAAATAAACAAAAGTAACAAAGTAAATAAAAATAGATTGCAAAGATCTGGAAATGTCTTAATCCCATATTTTATTACAACAGATTATTGTTGTTTTTGATTCAGATGCTTCTTGTTCACGTTCACCGGTGAGTGAACTTGATGCTTGAACGATTTATTAATTGTTTTATGTTATTTGTTCTTCCTGACACAACCTGGACTCAAACCTGCAGCCTCAGGACCGTACGCTGACCACTGATCCACCCCCCCCCCCCCCCCCCCCACACCAACCCCCACCCCCCCCCAATAGTAAATGTATGAGGTGTTTGTAAACTGCGTGTTTTAATGAAAGAAAGTGATTTCTTAAATTTGAAAGTCTGATGATTCCCTCTGTGAAGTGTCGCCGTTTCTTTTAGCAACAGTCCGTAAAGGTCCAGAACCTGAGCAGACCCGTTGTTCAAGGTTCTGGAGGGAATGTTGTCTCAGATGGGTAATTAACAGTTCTACAGAGTTGGCTCTTTTTTTTTTTGTTCTACTGGATTTTATTTTATTTTATTAATTTTTATTGGTGTATATGCAAACAAATTTCAGTTGGTGGGTGGTCAGGGCTGCAGGCCCGTTCAGCACCGGGACGTTTCATCCACGGTGCTGTGATGGATGCCGTGTACGGTTGAGCTCTGTCTTTCTGAAACATGGAAGGCTTTCCTTTAAAAACGTATTGACTGGATGGAGCAGACGTTCCAAAACCTGCAGGTACTTTTCTGCATCGATGGAGTCGTTCCAGATGTGCAAGCTACTTGTGTTAGAGGCACTAATGCACCCCCATACCATCAGAGAGGCAGCTGTTTGAACTGCCAATCCAGGTCGGATGGTTCCTCTCCTCTTGAGTACGGAGAACATGGTGTCTGTGGTGTCAAGAAGTTATTTTTGAATTTTGATCCGTCTGACCTGAGAACAGTTCTGGACTTCACCTCAGTCCATTAGAAATGAGTTCTGATCCAGAGACGACAGCAGAACTTCTGGATGGTGTTAGCATCTGGTTTCTTGTTTGTCTGATAGAGCTTTAAGCAGCATCTGTGGATGAACTGTGTGAACAGAGGATTTCATTTACCCTTTATTTATACAGGTAGTCTCACTGAGCCACGAGAACTCATTTTCAAGAGGGAAGAGGATGATGAGTTCCTTAGCCCAGAACCAGAACCAGAGCCAGAACAGAACCAGAGCCAGAACCAGAGCCAGAGCCAGAGCCAGAGCCAGAACAGAACCAGAACAGAACCAGAACCAGAGCCAGAACAGAACCAGAGCCAGAGCCAGAGCCAGAGCCAGAGCCAGAACAGAACCAGAACAGAACCAGAACCAGAACAGAACCAGAGCCAGAGCCAGAGCCAGAACCAGAACCAGAACAGAACCAGAGCCAGAGCCAGAACAGAACCAGAACCAGAGCCAGAACAGAACCAGAACCAGAACCAGAACAGAACCAGAGCCAGAGCCAGAACAGAACCAGAGCCAGAGCCAGAACAGAACCAGAACCAGAACCAGAGCCAGAACCAGAACCAGAACCAGAACAGAACCAGAGCCAGAGCCAGAGCCAGAACAGAACCAGAACCAGAACCAGAGCCAGAACAGAACCACAACCAGAGCCAGAGCCAGAACAGAACCAGAACCAGAACCAGACCTGTATTATTTTCACACAAAAATGAACATTTTCTTAGTTTCCACATGTGATAC